GGAGGACTGCTAGTCGCAAAGAATACCACTGAACTCTTCATTTTGTATTTGCCCTGTTTATTTAGATATTCACACCTTGCCGTAACGTTAGCAGCCATGACATTTCCCAAATAACGGAAGCCCTGTGGAAGAGCCCACCGCCCGAGCCATACCTTTTTGATGGCCTTCCTAGCGAATATACATTTGGGTACCCTGAGCTCAAGAAAACTATCTTCTTTACGTTTGGCACTAGCTGTTCTCGCCAAAACGTTCTGCCGTTTCCGCCGCTTGTCCTGGAGCCTCCTTCCCCCCTCCGCACTTACCATTTTCTGAGAGATGTCATCAGCATAGAGGATGCTTATCAGTGTCCTGAGTTTTGCGATGACTTCCATAGTGAGCAGGAAGCGAGGCGGTTTTGACATCTCATATTTTCCCAGCCTTTGCTCCTTTTTATAGTGTCTTCTTTAGGTTTATAGTGTCTTCTTAAGGCTTAGGGCATGGTTGCTTGTCTGCTCGAAAAGATGGCAAACTCTGGAGGATTCTTAGTAAGCTAACCGTCGTTTAGAGTCGAGATTCGAACCAACTTTTCTTGTCAGGGTCGTTCATTCGTCGGTACCCACTCATACACGTAGTCTCCGCGGAAGTCGGGAATGTGTCCTGTGACCACTCCGGATGACCTTAGCTTCGATACCTGGTTTCTTTGAAGACTCTGGTCATGATTTCGTGGCTAGGTTCCTTATCCAGCGTGTCAACCTGACGCTGGTACAAACACTATCTTTGCAAATTTTTGCACCTTTGCAAGGCATGGTTTTCGCCTCGGCTATTTCTGCCGTGCGCGCATCGACACATACAAAATGCGAGTTATAATAGTAGGCTATGCACTAGTAAGCACCTGCGATTATGCGGGAAACAATGAAAACTCTAAAATACGAAGAAAAACACTGACGGGATTGGAAATGTGCTTTGAATATCACAGCTGTATGACCGGATGATCACGAGAGGGGGACCTGACGAACAGAGACTTTCGACATGTGAAACTGTCGTCATTCCTATCTCTCGATGGCCGCCCTTGCTGTGTCAATTTTGCAAAAGTGAGCAGCTGGAAAATAAGCTTTTGCATCCGCACAACCGTCTTCTTCCAAGTCTAAAATATTGTAGCACCATTTGTTGAAATCACTGAATCCAATTCGTATCCTTGCAGTAGGTATCGTTCAACAAGTTGTTCTTGAGCCACTGTTTCCCGTCCCGTGTTTTTGAAATATTTTGTTTTTGATTAATGCTCGTGGTGAACACCTTTTATTCGACCCAAAAAGGGGATTGAAGGTGAAGACGTAATCGGTTATGGAGATATTCTAGAACAGTTTGAAGAAATATCGTATTTTGAAGAAAATTTGAGTAAGGGATTTATTTGAGCTCTAAATCGGTTCCAGGACGATTACAACATTATTTATTTGAGAATTTCAGCGTAATCCTTCGTCACCATTACCTATGTTCATCAGCGCTCGGCAATCAATTTATGGTCCGTGCCCAGTTGAGATGGATTGCCCGCACTGCCAGGTAGTGAAACTATTTTGAAAGTACAGAATGTTTCCAAATGCCAGTTTAATTTTGTTCACTAAGCACCTGCATAGCTGCTCATTGTGCCGCAGCTGTTCACTCGCTATCAGATTTTTCAATCTACTTGCTAGGCTTGAGGTGGAAAGAAGTGATCAAAGTCCACGATAAATTTGAGATACTCAGTTCAAGAGAAGTAGTGAAAGTATTGTGTGGAGTCGCGAAAATCATCAGATTTCAAGAAAAAGGCTTCATAAAGTAGTAGAAGGGAGTTATCCGATAACTTGATATGCCTAAAACTGTGCCCCACTAAATTTATGGTTCACGATTACTTTAAATTTTCAAATGCGCGCATGTGTGTTTAGGTGTGTAAGTCGGCCAGGGCTGTCGGGAACCCCGGAAATTCGCTTTTATTTTTTTGTTTTATGTGTTATCTTTGTAGGCTGAAAGCTCATCCTAGCCAAAACTTCGGAAGCAATTTAAATCGTGAACTTCTTCTAAGGTCTAATTACGATTGTGATGCGATGGCTGTGTTTAGAGTCAGCGCGGCGCTTGCCCGATTAGGGAACCCATCAGTCGTAGAATGGCATTTTCGTGGCAGAGTAATAAAGCGGTTCTCGGCCGAATCCAGTTCAATGTTTGCATATTTTTCTGTTGAAAAAAGCATATTCAATATTGTCAGATGAGTAGCCCCATATCCTCGATTACATACTCAAGATTTTTTCAATTATTACCTTAGACATAATGCCAAGTGTAGGGCTAGGTGAAGCTTTGCCTATCCAATGCATTAACTATTTCTTTTGTCTTCTCTCGTTCACATATCTTGATCGACTGCATATTCAATTGCCGATCCGGCAGCCTCTCCTACAGATTATAAAAACTTCAACAACTTTCTAAGAGGTCGTCCTAGTTCCGCTAACAGATCAGAATTTTTGTTTTGAGAGGCTAGTCACACACCTTATTCCGTTCGATCGATCAGTAAATCGTCCTGTTCATAAGTTCAGTGAGCCTTTTCTGCCTTAGTAAGACTTTTTTCATTCATTTTCATTTTTTCATTCGCGCATTCTATCACCAAGACATCTATCGAAACATATACTTAGGACCGTGTTCTGAAAGTAGTGAATCAGAGGAGACAAAAAATCCTGGCACCGTCATGGTTTCCTCCTTGTTGTGATTGTTTTCGTTGAGTTTTTTGTGAAATTTGTTTATGGAAGTAATGACTGAGTTCTGAGTACCATTTTGATGAAACGCTTAAGTTCTATAAAAGTTCTGTTTACACCATGTCAAGCATATCTCCTTCCCAGAGTTACTAGTTCATTTGCAGGCACACATTGTGTCGCATATAGAGCGTGTGACAGGTGTCCTGCCATGGATTTTGTGTGGAATCTGTGTGCTGCTCGGGTTCTTCTTGTTCCTCGTTCCATGGTGTTTCTGTGGCTTACCATTCTGCATGGATCAGTGTCTTGACGTGGTACACTCTTGCCCAGCCTGCAAACGCCACCTCGGGCGTTTCAATCGGCTTTAACCGTTAACATTCAAGAGATAATTTTGTTTACGATTGTTTACGATTCGTTGCATTCATATGCATCTGTGAGGCATCTAAGCATTAGACAATCTGTATATATCCACCACAAGCATTGCAATTTCGTTTCTGTGTATAATTTTCGCAGTAGGACTCCTTGTGTAGAAAGGCTTCGTTCAGTGCTTTCTCATCCGTTTCAACCCTTAGTATCTTTGATTTCTAGTATAATTCCTCCCAAAGAAGCCTTTGCAGAACTCTGGAACGTAACCATATCGTTTGTTGGTCATGTGCAACTGTACTCGTAAATTGATTTGGTACTCGTGATAGTTTTAGATCAGATATTATCAAGGGCAGATTACATTGTTATTGGACGTTATTTTCCCTGAATCACAATCCTTGAATGGGCTCCAAAATTTAGGCTGAATAGTCAAATTAAGCACATAGCGTTACTACATTCAGCCTTAAGCTCTGTATTACCATTCCATTGCCCATTCATCCATATTACTTTTGTTGAGTTTCTTTTTTCGCACTTGCACTATGTCTTCTCGCGAATATGTTCACTGTTCATAATATTAATTGTTCACTGATCTGCATTATATTATTACTATTATTACGTTTTTATGCTCTAAAATATGGCCTTCTATCTAAGGTGATGCGGTAGCTGAGTTTGCACATTCCTTTCTTCATAATATTATATTAACATAGCGTAATATTAGTTTGATATGTTGTCGGGTGTATAATGAAAAGATGTCGTATTGGTGTTTATACTTGCTATCTATTGGAGAAGGGCAGAGGTGGTGTAGTGGCAAGTGGCGCACTTCACACACGCATGGTCACGGGTTCAAATCCCGGATCGATATCTGCGTAGGTCAACGAAGCCTTCCGGTTAATTGGTATCAGACTCGTCTGGGAGGATGAAAGAACTGACTTATGCATGGGCTGGCCATTGCAAGTTATCGTATAGGCCACATACGCATTTAAATTTAGAGGCACAGTTCGCGATAATTCGATGGGCGGGTATGTCAATGACGTGTCCGCCTCTCATTCGATGTCAGGTCAGATAGTCTGACGTGACATCGAATGAGAGGCAGACACGTCATTGACATACCCGCCCATTGAATTATCGCGAACTGTGCCTTNGGAAGTCGAATGCGTGGGCGCATCCCTCAGACGGGATTGATCAACGCCCCGAGACTTTATGCTACTTTTTAGATTTTATTTGTTGAAGAAAAGTAATAAGTAGACAGGACAGCAGAATTAGAAGTTTGTAGGTGATTAGATTTTATTCAGATGAGCTGTTTGCAAAGTTGTTTAAGTTGGAGCTAAGTGCTCTTGCCAAGACGTCTGTACGTTCCGATCCAGGCCTTGCATGATGGGCAGTGGTGTTCAACGTCCTTGAAGGTCTCTACACAGAAAGGCACCTGAATCAATGAAATAGAGGGAATATTAGTAATGTAGGGTAGAATAATAGAGTTTAATTATAAGGAATATAATTGAGGTCTCACCCATAAGAAGAACAACGGGAGGACGAAAATGCCTGCGATGAGGATTACCAGGAAAGCGACATAGGTGAAGAACCCGTTCACAAAATGCAGCTCAGTCTCGCCATGGTTCTGAAACACATCTCGATATTAACCTGAGCAAAAACGAGCTTCTCACACAGTACTTCCGACTTCTATCTGTGGGAGCGGGATTGGTGTACTTTGAAGCCCGAATTTCCATGGTCGCATGCATGGTAGCTACAATGGCCTAGAACCAATCGTCACAATCTATCACTGAAAATTGAATTCTACCCATGCACTGCACACCTCGATAGGAGATGAGGGCCGTTTGGGTAGGAGATTCCACAGCTGTGCAGTAGAGGCGTTCGAGGGTGAACCTAGGCTAAACTGTGACTGACTGAGTTCATTCAATGTCGGTATTTCTAGGCTCCCAGACAATGGCGGCAGTAATATAAGCGGTCGCAAAGGGATAGAAGCTACTTGCTCAATAGTTGGTAAGGCTAGAATGAAATATATAGAATTCACTAATCTCAGGTGAGATAACATTGCACTTCGCTTCATTCCTCATTCTCTTACCTCCTTTGATATTAAAAGGCGAATAATCAAAATTTTCCGGGTGAAATAAAGGCAGCGACAGAGATGAAGAGAGGAACATTGCAGAAATTTTATGAAATAGTTCTAATAAGAAGAGGGCAGTGTACATGAAAAATAAATGAATTCGATAGATAGTGTTATGGTTGAGTATTGTACTACACTTGATTAAAAAAGAATTTGGAAAGGGTGATGCTCGGAATTTCCCTATACACGCAACGAAAGGAATGTTGGATCTCGTGTCCATGGAGCGCAGACCATTAACTGGACCACTTTGGCTCGTGTCAAGGAGGAATGGAGAGGTTACTGGCGCCCGCTCGAGGAATTCGATGATTAACAGGACGACAGGTGATACAGGTGATACTATACTTGATTAGCAAAAAGGTGTCTGTTGGTGTGTTGTGTCGGTATGTTGGGTGTAAGTGGATTTGCGTTTGTGTAGGTGTGGGTGTGTGCGTATCGTGTATGTGTGGGTGTGTAGGGGTTGAATCTGGCATAATTATCATTTATTTCCTCTTTCTTACGAGATTCGCTCATTTTACCGATAAGTAGCAATGATATTACTTTAAATTCAAGGCACTAGTTCATACAGTTCCAGAACAACCAGGACTTCTAATGCATTTTTCAAAAACTGCTTCAAAAACGGTTTGGATTTCGACAGAGTCACGAAAGCTTGACACCACGAAACTGTACAAGAGATAAGGGTCCTTAAAGATTCTCGATTGAAAGGTTTGCAATATACGTCATCTTCATAGCTAGGCAGGTGAATGAGAAATATCGAGAAAAGTGTAAGCCCTCTTGCCTAGCTTTCCTCGAGCTGAAGAATACATTCAACGGTCTACTGCGATCAGTGCCTCGTAACACCGGATCTCCCGGGTCAAGGACTTGTACGAGTCGCAGTCAGCTATGCGCACACCTTAGGGCTTAACTGGGCAATAGAAATCACATTGAGGTTTACCAAGGATCAGCTCTAGGCCTGTTTCTCCTTACAAACATTGGATGCCATCACAGGACTTTTGTTTAGATGAAGCATCTTTCATGCCGACGATGTCTCTGACAAGGTAACTAGAAAACCACTTGTGGGCAAACCGAGGAAATTGCCGAATGTGATTATGGAGAATGGACCCCATGCGAAAGTGATGAAGAGCAAGTTGAATAACTAAGTGTGCATTGGACTAGCCATCGAAAGAGCGTAAGAACACCGAATTTTGGGGGTGACCGAGTTGCTGACGGTGGACCACGCTGTGAAGGTTTGAATAAATACCGTATGTTCGGCTGCTGGCCAACGGATCTTACCGTACTCTTGCAAAGGTTCACTACAACATGTATAGTGAGCCACGATAATACATAATCTTATATACAAATGGATGTGGGCGGCGCCTAGACACCTTATCGCCGATAGACTGTACTAGTACAGTTAAGCAATGAATAAAATAGCACGCCGCGTCAACAGCAATGTCTCAATTACCTACTTCATTGTAAACTTGACTTCTTGCCAACTTCTGTTGCTTAATTGTACTTTTACAGTCTATCGGTGATAACCTAATGCCTGAATCACCTAGTTGGTTGTAGGCATGAAGGCAGGTTTACGATAATTTCAAGTTACTAGGTAGACAGGGGCGTTCGGAGAAGATTTCTGTTGTTGTAATGACGTTGAGAACGACTGCACTAGGTTCAAAATGTCAAAACTGCTTCCCACTGTCTCCATACGTTACGATTAGTTGTTTGAACTTGCAACGAAGGCGTTCCTTGTGAACGGTGCAGCCCTCTACAAAGCCCTAAGACTGATCCGGTTTAAAAATTAGTATGCAGCCCATACAATCCCTGAGTCCTTTAACGCCCTATTTTGGCCGTTTTCCGACCTGACAGCGCTACCTGTGATATGTAGGAAACCCACTGATTCATCCGAAAGATATCTTGGAAACCATTTTCATCGCAGACTGTGTCTTTAAGGTACTGATTGGTTATGGCTTTGCTATCGTCTTACTAAGAACATAACCAAAGATAAAGAAATAGGCAAATGTTTAGACTAGTTATGAACTCAAAACAGAATGAATGGAAGGGTAAGAGCCCAGTGACAACTTCCGCAAGTGCTTCGAGAACTCATAAAAAATATACGGGACAGGTATGAGGCGTACATTGCTCTACAAAAAAGAAACCTAGTTTTACTAATTGTGTTATTACAAAATGGTACAATACAAAGGCAGCGAGGGTTGTCCTGGAGGCAAACAAAGACGTCACATGAGTCATTCAAGCATATCCTTTTGGCTCAACCATTATCCTGTTCGACTGAAAATGAGAGGACAGCGTGGCGATGGTATGGGCCTGTGCTGTGAGAACAAGAGGTTACTCTGGGAGAGAAGAAATGGACTACAATGCTCAAGGAAAGCGATCACGCTCTAGCCGCTTCTTTTGAGGTTCGGATACTATTTATTTCTCTGAAGGATCAATCAGCCCCAAAGAAGTTGGAAGGGCGTGAACAAGAAGAATGGATCCGAAATAGAGGTAGTGACAGAGGATGGAAGCAGCGAAAACTAACAAGAATAACGGACTCTGCAATGGGAGTAACTGAGATGGAAATAACTTTTGAAAGAAAAAGGTTGTGTTGATGATAGAAGCAGCAAAGCCTGAAAGGTAACAGCCGTGCCTTGAACAACGGCAGTAAAAGTGACCTGCGGTCGATTGAAAAATAGTTGTCCTGTCGTTCGCCCACTAGAGGTGTTGATGTGGGATATAGAATTTGCTACATGTATGAGCAGATTTACAATCGGATCACAAGATTTCATGGACCTCTGAGTGAGAACATGCCCTTGTGTCACTAGCGAAGTGGTCGAGAAATGTCTATGGCGCAGAAAAAGACCATGTGATGAAAAATGAAAAGCTATCAACTGAGAAATAGTAATGAAAAAATGCAAAATCAATTGAAAAGAATGTTATACAGTATAAGAAGTTGCCCATGCCTTGAAGTACCCTCCTAATTGGTTATTATGCACAACATAACCATACGCGGGCGGAGGTGGTGACTGGCAGGTGGCGCACTTCACACACGCATTGTCACGCGTTTGAATCCCGGGTCCATATCCGACTAAGCAAACCAAGCCTTCCATCCCTCCCGGATCGGTTAATTGGTACCAGACGTGTCTGAGAGGATAAAACACTGACTTGTACATCTGCTGGCCACCGCACGTCATTGTAAGCCGTATACGCATTCATTGCGCCAATTCTATTCTACCTCAAGAATCATTGCAGTAAAGTTTCAAGGCACAGTTCATAGCAAAAATGGTTGCTGAGATTCCCCTTTGAGATGAATCCCTGACACCAAAGGATACCACAAGGGCCGCTGTCGGGTCTAAAAAGGTTTGGATAAGGCATAATAAGAACTGCAAAACCAGCTTTGCCGACTACACACCCGATACGGGCGTGTTATGCCGGCCTTGTTGAAAATGCACTGTTCACAATGAAGCCTTAGGAGGAGATAAATGAATGGTGCACTCATGTGGAAGACAACCAGACGGTTGCAGATGGCAATCCCGTTCAACCACTTTTTTCGCTACTTTTTCCAAAATTTTATGTTTTGAAAGCAGACCGTCCTCAGGCTTTCTTCACCCTTGCGCTACTCTGCACCATATTTTTCATTATTTCACTCAGACTGAGTACCTTAGAATTATCATGAATTGTGCCTTTAGCTTATATGCTGCAGGCTTGGGAAATGGATATTCAATCTTGGGCACAAGTATCGAGTAACTGGTACATACTTCCCTATCCTCTAATTTTGATAAGAAGCAGCCGAATACAATCGAAATCAAGAATGATTGCTTACAGGATCCACTATTCGTAATGTACCTCCACCCACTGTTTTTTATTTCAATGACGGAAACTGAAGTGTCGAGAGCTCTAGCCACTCGCAAACAAAGTCTTTGTGAGTTCTAAGTCAAAGGAAGCCCAGGTCGAAGAGATTTTGAAATTATTTCTTTCGGATGTTGACGGAATTAATCTAACGATGTATGTGTCCAATAAAAAGTAGGGGGAGCGAAACGAGACAAAAATATCTCGAGACTACATGAAATGAGACCACTAATTTTGATGCCAATTTTGCGATATGCACGATAGGATCGTGAACAACTGGGTGTTGGAACAAGTTTTCTTCAACTGACGACATATTTACATCGAGTCACCTATTTACATGTCTAAGCACTACTAACATTAATGCGATTTGGCTCTAACACCGTTTTCTTTATCTAGCTTTTTTATTAGTTTTTTTGTCAATCGCTCATCTGGCTTTATTCTACCCTCATCCTTTCCAATCTTGAGACCCTCCCCCTCCCC